TCTATGCTTATGTCTGATTGTGTATTCTTATACTATCTCATTCTCATTGTGTAGGAATTTGATGAGATGTCTTCAGTTGAGTCTACTATCGCATCACAGAAATCAGAGCTTGACCTTTATTTGGATGAGCCAAGATTGGCTAGGACCGCGGATCTTGATATCCTTTCCTTTTGGAAATCAAACCAATTTCGATATCCAGCACTAGCTTCTATGGCTTGTGATATATTGGTTGTCCCTGTTTCTACAGTTGCTTCTGAAGCTACATTTAGTGTTGGTGGTAGAGTTCTTGATTCATTTCGTAGCTCACTCAAACCAAAGACAGTTGAAGCACTTGTTTGTACAAGAGATTGGTTATATGGAGACAAAGGTAGTTTCAAACTTACTTAAATTATGTATCTTTTCTATATTGATTTTGAACTAACTTGTATCTATATATATTTGTTTTTGTGTAGATTTCAATAAAGAGGTGGAGGATCTTACACAAGATATCTTCAACTTTTCATTGAAAGAAGAGGAGCCTTTCTCACAGGGATCAATTTCTCCTAAACGTAATGATGCACTTGGAGTCCCCCCACTGCAGCAAATTATTTAAATATTTAATTATTAATCATGTATGTTTGTTTTCTAAATTGTGAGACTTTTATGTGTTTATTTTTTAATTTGTTAGAGACTCTAATGTGTTTGTTTCAATTTTGAACTTAGATTATGTAATGACTCAACATTATGTTAAACAGGTTGAGAAACATATTCAGAAATAGGTTTTGAAATAGGTTATGATATAGGTTCAAACGTGTTGAGAATAATCAGGTCATAAACGTGTTGACAAGTAATTAACGGTTGACACGACCCGTTTATGACCTATTTCATAAACGTGTTGACAGGTACTTAACGGGTTGACACGACACGTTTACGACCTGTTTAATAAATGGGTTAATCGTGTCGTGTCGTGTCAACCCGCTAATAAACATGTCGTGTTTGGGTTTAGAATTTTGACACGATTAATAAACATGTCGTGTTCGTGTCAGACCTATTCGTGTCAACTGAGGGGTTCAACACGACACGAACACGACCTGTTAACACGAATTGCCACCCCTATAAAAGATAAAGTAATGGCTATAACATTAAATAATGCTAGTGCCAATACAAAAGTAACTGAGTTCTTTGAAAATGATTTAAGTTTATTCGGTGACGGTATAATTTTTCACCAACGTTGTGCATGTCACGTAATCAATTTAATAGTTAAATCCGGTTTAAAAGAAATGGGTAATCACATTAAAAAAATTAGAGATAGTCTTGCATGGATTCAAGGTAGTAACCAAAGACAAGAAAATTGGTTTAGGTTTTTATAAGCATTAAATATACCTCATAGAGCATTAGCGTTAGATATGCCTATAAGTTGGAACTCAACTTACATTATGCTTCAACAATGCATTCCCTATAAGGATGCCATAACAAACTATATGTGTGCAAAATTATGAGTATGACATATAGACGAATTTGATTGGGAAATTGTCGAAGTTTTGTATCAATTTTTAGGTAGGTTTCATGAAGTTACTTTAAAACTTAGTGGAACATACTACCCAACATCACCTTTAGCTTTAGGTGAACTTTTAAGAATTAGTATTTTATTTAGTGAATATAGGGAGGACCTAATCTTAAAAGTTCATATTCATTCTATGGAAAAGAAATTTAAAAAATATTGGTCTAAGTTGCCTTTGTTGTATGGTTTAGGTACTATTTTTGATCCTAGATTAAAATTAGAAGGTTTAGAAAGTGGCTTATAAAACTTAGGTGAATTTTTAGGCATCAATTGTTCGGACCAATATCCAATAATAAAGGAAAAAATATATTCGATCTATAGTAAATATGAGATTAGGTTTAGAGTATCTCATAGAGTACAGGAACCGCAACAACAAGACGAAAACCCGCATTCATTCTTGAATGTTTTCGGGTTGAAGAAGAAGAAGAAGACAACTCAAACAGAAGCTGTGAGTGAATCTTCATCAACAAGTGGCAGTGGCAGCGGCGGCGGCAACAGCTTCAACGAGCTTATGGCGTACCTCAGTGAAGGCTTAGTAGTCAGCTGTACGGCAGAATCGTTTAACTTAGTTCAATGGTGGAGGGCACGGGCATTAACTTGGCCAATCCTAACTCGATTGGCAATGGATATATTTTCGATCACAGTCTCTACTATTTCATTCGAACAAGCATTCAGTACGACAGGAAGAATACTTTGTTGGGAATGGTGTCTTAGAAGCATAAGATGTAATAGGATATTTATTATTTATTTAATAAAATAGTTTATTCATTATTTTATGTGCATATATTTATGAATATTTTGTGAATATCAATGAAAATTCCATGATTATTTATGTAACCTTAAACACTGTATATAAGTGTTATATACGAGAGGATAATGTTTAAGGATAATAATCAAAAAGCAATGTTCATAATGAATTTAATTAAAGTTCAGAATCTTTAATTAAAA